AGTGCACTGATGTTTTATTTGCAGTGGGAAGCCAGCACAGGGAACTTCCTGGGACATGGCCACCTGTGCTTTCTTCATTTCTGAGGAGGAAATGAAGCTGTCACCTGGGACATCTGGGAAGTCTGGGAACACCCATGGAATCAATCTGATCTTCCACATGAGGATGGCACCAACTATGCTGGCTAGAAGGAAATTCAACAGACCACCCTGAATTTCTAGGAGATGACAACACAACTAAAGACGCTGAAATGCACTGGTCCCCAAACTTCCAAGCCAGTTCCAGACTATCTTCATCTTCAGCATTATTTGCAATAGTTATACTAATTAATAGTTTCTTTCCACATTTTTTCCCTTAACTCAAGTCACTGAAAAAGAAAATGATAAACTTTTGTGGAACTAAGTGGAAGTAGAAACAATGAAACTGAAGTATGTGAGAAGCCCCAACAGAACATAATTGAAAATCAGCAGCACCTGGCATAAAGACACTTTTCTAGCCCTAGATACCTAGCATGAAGCCTGCTTCTCTTTATTTTTGTCCTTTCTTTCTGTACAGCCAAGTTTTATTTATTTTTATTTTTTAAACTGAAGTATAGCTGATGTACTATATAAGTTACAGGTGTATAATAAAGTGATTCACATTTTTCAAAGGTTATACTCCATTCAGTTATTATAAAATACTCGCTATATTCTGTGTTGTACAATGTATCTTTCGGGCTTAGTCTATACACAATAGCTTGTACCACTTAATCCCCTATCCTTATATTGCTCCTCCCCACCTCCTTCTCCCCACTGGTAACCACTAGTTTGTTCTCTATTTTGAGTCTCTTTCGTTTCTGTTACATTTATTAGTTTGTTGTATTTCTTAGATTTCACAGCTAAGTGATATCATACAGTTATCTGGCTTTCTGTGTCTGACTTATTTCACTTAGCATAATACCCTCCAACTTCCATTCATGCTGCTGTAAATAGCAAAATTTCTTTTTTATGGCTAATATTCTTTTGCATATATATATACCACATGTTCTTTATCCATTCATCTGTTGATGGCCACTTAAGTTGGTTCTTTATCTTTGCAATTGTAAATAATGCTGCTGTGAACATAAAGACAACCTACTGAATGGGACAAAATATTTGCAAATGATGTGACCGATAAGAAGTTAATATCCAACATATATAAACAGCTCATACAATTCAATATCAAAAAACAAACAACCCAATTAAAAATGGGCAGAAGACCTGAATGGATATTTTCCCAAAGAGGATATGCAGATGGCCAACAAGCACATGAAAAGATGTTCAATATTGCTAATCATAAGGGAAATGCAAGTCAAAACCACAACGAGGTATTACCTCACTCCAGTCGGAATGGCCATTCAGTAAAAAGATCACAAATAACAAATGGTGGAGAGGATGAGGAGAAAGGGGAACCCTTGTACAATGTTGGTGGGAACTGCAGCCACTAGGGAAAACAGTATGGAGATTTCTCAAAAGACAAAAAATAGAACTACCATGACTCAGCAATTCCACTCATGGGTATATAACTGAAAAAAACTGAACACATTAATTCTCTTCCTTTAGAAGGGAGACTCACAAGAGTTAGAGAGGTGGAGGAAATATTAGCAGCAAAAGGAGATTGTATACCTCGTCAGAAGAAATGAAAAAGATTTAAAAATCTCACCATGGGATTCAAAGTTATTTAACTCTGTAAGAGTATCCCAAATAAATTAAGAAATTTTGAAAGAAAGTTTTTTGCAGTCTTTAGCAATGGTTTCAGCTTCAAAATAAAGCTCATTAGTAAAAAATTATGCTAATTGTGTAGTTTATTCCGAAGGCCTCAGATTTTCACTCACTTAAGAATTGCCTTCATTCACATTCATCCACTTCATTTATATTGCCAAAGCCATGTACAACGAAATAGCAAAGATCAAAAGTTTAAATTTAACAAGAAAAAAATGCATAGAAAAGCAAGTTTTAGTAATGGTCTTTCTTTTTCCTTTCATAGTTGTTAATGTGAATCTCTTTTTCTTTTTTGCTTTAATGTCAGTCATTATTTTATATTTAAGTGTTTGATTTTCTCATCCACTCAAGATTTCTTTCCATTAAATCAATTAAAAGTTAGTTTTAGTTAGTCTATCCTGCTTAACTTACACAACATTATAACAAAACTATTGCTGTTCTTCACCTGGAAATTCTTTCAAAATACCATTTTATATATACAGAATAAATCTCTTGTTTTTTTATTCCTACAGCTAATGAACACATGTTCAAATTGATAAGTCTCTCTTTCACAAGGTTTAGTCTATGATTATAAGATGGCTACTTAACTATGCATTTTCCTGAACACGTAATTCCAAATTTAATTTTATTTAAATAATATATTCCAAAGGTCCTAATGAAAACAGGAAAGAAAATGACAGAGTGAACTGGTTCTTTGTGTGGTTCTACTTGAAGCTAAGAAATTATAGTAGCAGTATGGCAACAGTGGAGACTCTGGAATAAGAGAGCTGAGTTCTACTTTCCAATTCACAACTTCATAGCTGTTGAGGCAGGTCTGCTAGTTGACTTCTCAAGTTTGTTCCTTTACCCATAAAACAATGCTGCTGTAAGAAATGAATGAAATGATTAATATAAACACTGCTTATAATGTCTGGCCCATAGGTATGTGCTGAACAAACTGAGGTTGTTA